CCTCCCCCAAAGAATATGTGTGTTAAAGCTGCCAATTTTGTGATTTGTCTGTCTTCTGAAGGAAGGGACATCCTTCAGGGTTCTTTGCACCAGCTTATCTTACACAGACTCAGCACCAATTCCTATCCCAGTTGCAACCGGTCCATTCCTACCCATTAACAAACAGGGGGGTGCTGATGGAAATATTCCATTTATTGTGGATGCAGTTGCAGAATACATTGTATGAACAAATCATTTTTATTGCAGCTATCAGATGTATTTGAAAGATTCAGAGGAGCATTTACAAATCCCCAAAACAAAACATGACAACTCCCAGACAATGTCAGGCCCAGTTTCACCCCCTACAAATACTTAGGTGCATCTCTATTTGTAAACAAGATGTTTCAGCCAAGCAGGGCAGCTCATCTTTGGCTTGAAATACAACAGTATACTTTTTAGGAAGAAGTCAGAGCCTGTAAGAGATGGAAGTGGTGAAAAGGGAGATCCTGGGGGTTCCAATGCACAACAAAGCTGTTTACAACGTGCTCAGGGGCTACTTGAGCTGCTCAGTTTATGCCACCCATACGCTGTAGGATGTAAATGCTAAACTGTATGGCATGTAAATTCAAACCCAGCTGACGTCCTGTAGCCATGTGTGAACTATATACAAATGAAAACATCGGTCAAGAAGATATTCAAAAGAGAGAGGTAAAAAGAAGCGCTATAAAGATAGAGGTTTACTTCATTTTTGGTGGACTTGGTAGACAGCACTGATGGATGGCAAGATGTAGTGTACAGTGATTTGAAACAAACTCCAACTCTGTTTAGATTTTTTTTCTTTTTAATTATGGTAGTTTTATATAAATTAAACTACAACGTTTTATACAAGTGACCTACTTTTGACCCTCTATACCCTTTCCTTTTCCTCTTTTAAAAACTATACTTTCTTTTTAATTACCCGTTACTGGGCAACTGACATTTAAAATTTTTTAATACTTATCTCACCATACCTCTAATAGCAATTATGAAATCTTCCTATAGAAAAGTGTGTAATTTTGTCTTTATTTTTTTAAGCTGTGATATTGGCTAATTATGTATGTTTATGACTAAATATAACACTCTAGCACATCTTAAAAGCATTCTACCATTAGTAGTGCCTTTAGGCTAAACTTTGTAAAGCTACGTGTGTATATATTCTAAATTGCATTCAATTCCTAGTCACTAACAACAAAAAGAAATATCAGTACCGCTGTCAGCTATCATAATCATCCAAATTTAGGTATTAACTTAAACTAGAATGGAAAAATTGATACTTAAAAAAAGTATAAAACAAAAAAATAAAACACATTATTGATGCAGTATTTCTCATGACATGGGCAGCTTACAGAAAATATTACATTGTCAACTAAAGATATTTCTTCCATGCCTTAGTCTAAAGTGCAGAAAGAAAGACTTCTGTATTACAAAAGGAACCATTGTTTTTACAGGTTTACTGCACACCCTTTCTTAAGCAACTTTACTTCATGTGCATTTTGGGTTGACCTCTTCTGGCAGTTGAAATCACTGTTCAGATCCATGGTTATGACTATCAGTAGGAGAGTCTATATATTTCACAGCATGGGTTTCTTTAGGAATAAAGGCTCTTGTGCAAAGGCAGTACAATTAGGATGAATCTCTAGACTGATTGTTAAATACAGTGCTAATATACATGGTTTTAAGTGGGATAATGCAAAAAGACATCTTAGTAAATAAACATAAATATAAAAAGAACAATTTAGCACTTTTTCCTTTTTTCTTTCCCCCAGACTGATTGGTCCAGCATCTTCAGTGGCCTTCTATGGTTCTTTCTCCAATTGTCTCAAACCTGCTGAGAAAAAGAAAGATTAAAGATGCCTTGAAACAACCCAAATACATCTCTAAAACAGAAAAGGCACAGCTCTAGATTAACAACATGTAAGAAGGCAGGACACAAGCTGGGTGCTGCTGCGCTCATCTCCTGGGATTGCTCAGAGGTGGTCTCCAAGAGACAAGCAGGATTTCACCTCGCTTGCCTCCAGCAGCCTGAGGAAGCACTCCCTGAGGAAGCAGGGAGTGCTCAGGAACACCCCCACAGAAATGCAGGGGTGCTCCTGAACCCATTGCTCTCCTCAGCCACGTGTGGGTGGGCTGGGAACACCTTCCAGAGAAGCAGAGCTGCACTAACACTGAGTGAGCCTGAAAACCCCTCTCCTAACAGTTTAGTTTAAAAAAGGAGAAGAGGAGGAAAAGAATTCTGCTTTGCACGAGTCTAAACCCACAAGAAAAGTTCACAGGCATACCACACCTCTGGCTTCACATACAAATGTGAGGAAAAATGTGTGCACATATTAAAGCAGAGAAAACCAAAAGGTTTTCTATATTCAACCATTTCGTTCTTAGAGAAGAGTCGAGGGATGTTGCAAGGCATCTTTAAAGCTATTGAACTGGTCAGTGACCTTCTGTTCTTCCCCAGGGGTCCTCAGGCACATAAGTGGTTTAGTTGGTTTGATTTGGAGTGTTTTAGGTTAAAATAGAAATTAAAAACCTAAGGGGGGATTTTGCTAGTGGTTTCAAAATTACAGTATTAAGACTATTTTTGCCTTCAGAAGACACCAACGTGCAGTTCCAGCCAAAGCATTCCTACTGCTGAAGGTGGTTAAACTCCATTCCAGTCTGGGGATGCAGGAGAATATGAGACTCACGATCAGCCAGAAGAACAATTTCTAAAAACCAAGGCTATTGAATTTTCCTCGGGCTTCACCATTACCAGGTGGCTGTGCTTAAAATCAAATGTGGGGCTGAGGACTGAATTTCAGTACTCAGGCTGATTTGAGAGTACTGAAATCTTCCTTTTCTGCTCAAATGATGTTACTGCAACAGCTTTGTTTTTTGAGCTCCCCCTCTCTGCTTAGAAAAGGCACATCCATTCCCACTGCAGCCTTCAGAAGAGCCTTTCCCAGATGCTTTGCATTTGCTGTAATTTGTCAAATGGCCATCCCATTCCTCAGCCCACACACCTTTTAATGATACTCCCCAGCTATATCAAACATGCTATAAATCTCTCTTGAACAAGCCTTTGGACACACGGCTGGTGCACTGTTAGTATACTCAGTCCTCCTAGAAAGATGACCTAGTTTTATTTCTCAGGCATTCATGTTTTGATAATGTTGCAATGGAGCTTTTGAAAGGCAAAAGGCAGAAAGGACTTTAGTGGCATCAGCATTAATAGCTGTAGAATTTTAACACTGGTACACCTGTGCAAAAATGTGGCACCATTTCTCTATTGTAATATGTGCTACAATATACATATTATATTAGTATATGTATGATGCTATTAAACTGTATGTGTACAATATTGTTAAATATGTGTATAATATGTATAATATTTACATAGGATATAATAATGTTACATTATATATGTAATAAAGTGTATTACAATATAAAAATGGGTGCAATGTGTGTATTTTGGTATTACTTACCATTGGCCTCTGATTTTTTCCCCATAGCTGATACCTGTTTGAAAAAGTAATAACCCATGATTAAAATTCAAGAGAGGAGAACATTGGTATTTATAACAGGAGAAAAACTGAACTCCCAGC